TTTTTTTTTGTTTGAGGATTATAACACTTGTACCCCTATTGGGTTGGAGAGTAACCGAGAAAAAAATACACTTAGTGGCTCTAGGATCGAGTTTGTTATTGGTGAGGCTTGTGTTATGGACAAATGCTGAGCACCCAAAAGTGCGGAGAGGAAGAGAAGTGAGGAAACGTGTGTGAGGATAAGTTTTCAGGATAATTTGGATAGGAGTTTGATAGTTAAGGACACGGGAAGGGAGCCAATTTGTCAAGTATGAAGCTGTGAGAATTGCTTCACTCCAGAATTGTTTGGGCACAGAATTAGTAAACATAATGGCTCAAGACGTTTCTAAGAGGTGACGATTTTTTCTTTCGGCGTTACCATTTTGTTGGGGGTGTATTAACGCAAGAGCTTTGATGAATTATGCCTTTGGTTTTAAGATATGGACTTAATGTAGAGTTAAAGTACTCACGAACATTGTTGGTACAAAGGATCTGTATTTTAGTTTGAAATTGGGTTTCAACCATGGCATAAAACTTTTAAAAAACTGTGATAACTTCAAAATTTTCTTTTAAAAGGAATACCCAACATACACGTTTATGATCATCAATAAAAGTGATAAACCATCGAGACCTAGAAACGTTGTTATTCGTGATGGACCCTAGATATTGCTGTGGATTAATGAAAAAGGTTTAGAATTTTTATATGGTTGATCACTTGGATGGGATAAGAGACGCAAGTATGCTTAGTCAAAGCTTGAGTTTGTTTGCACACTACTTGCTGGTTAATCTCAAAGATGTACAACCCATCACACTCCTTAGCACTGCCAATCATCCTCGGCAAAGTTAAATCCTGAAACTTACAGCCATAGGATGTAAACTTAGCAATACAATTTGAGTCTTTAGTCAATTTGCTAATTGAGAGAAGGTTACAAGTAATATTTGGGACATGCAAGACAGAGTGGAGGATTATTTCTTTAGATATTCGAATGGTTCCAATTCCAGCGATTGTTGATAGTGATCCATCATCAATTTTAATTTTTTTGATTGTTGTAACATGTCTTATAATTGGAAAATAATGTACGTTGGCTAGCATATGGTTTGAAGCTCTTGAATCAATGATCCAGGAACTTTGGTTGGTTGAAATTGTAGTTAAAGCAGAACAAATATTACCTTTCTGAGCTATAGAGGTAATGGGATTTGAGGGGCTGGAGTTTTTTGCGTTGTGTGCAAGAATAGCTTGTAGTTGTTCAAGTTGCTCCTTGCTGAAACCAAGGCCTTTTTCTAAGACCTGTAGCATTCTTATCCTCCTCCAAAGTGGTTGAGAAACCACGGTCTGCTCCTGTCTTTTTGTGTCCAATTTTTTCCTAATGGCTTCCAATTTGGTGGTTTACCATGTATCTCCCAACATGTCTCTCGAGTGTGCCCATGAAGTTGACAATAATCACACCATGGCCTCTCTCCCCCTTTTATTTATTTATTTATTTTTTTTGGTTCTCGGAAAGGTCCATTGTTGTTCAAAAAATTACTTTTTTTGCTTGTAAATAATGTTGATTCTGTATTGTACAGATCTGTTGTAATGATTTCTTTAGGTCTTTCCATCATTACCCTTTTTCTACTCTCCTCGCGTCTAACTTCTGCAAAGGCTTCTTTGACATCGGATAATGGCTTTGATCCGAGGATTCGACCCCTCACATCATCCAAACCTTTGTTGGGGCCATATAAAAAATCGAACAACCTCTCTTTGTTTAACATTTGCTTGAATTTCACACTTTCTTCACTGCATTTCCAACTATAATCTTAGAACATATCTAAATCTTGCCATAAAATCAATGGATCATTATAATATTTAGTAACAGAACTATCACCTTCTTTTTTTCTCTAATAGCAAATTTGAGTTCAAAGATTTTTGCTGAATTTCCAAGATCAAAATATGCTTCAGCCACTGCGTCCCATATTTCCTTTGCTGTTTTGTAGTAGAGATAGGTTTGACTTATCGTGGGCTCCATGGAATTGATCAGGCATGCCTTCACCCACCTCCATTTCTTATAATTTGCTGTGTCTACTTCCGGAGCCTTTGCTTCACCTGTGATGTGATCGAGCGTTCCCTTGCCATCGATGACCAGCTTAGCACATTGGGACCACTCCACGAAATTAGCTCCATTTAATTTCGTTGGAGTAATCTGTAGAGAGTGGGAATCAACTGGACTATAATGAGTCGCTTGACCAGTCGAGTTTGCCGTGTCAAAGGGACTATCGGAAGCTCTGCTCCTGGTCGGAGTAGACATTAAAACTGGTTGAGAAGAACCAGCTCTGGTGCCATAATAGGAGTTGAGAAAATAATTATTTGGATGATGAATTGAATTAGACAATGATCCTCTTTAAATAGAGGAGAATTTCATCAATTAAGGAGGATTTAATCCCTACAAATCAGCAACTAAACCCATAGAATGAGGGATTTGAATTTAACATAAATACAACCTGATTCTACTCCTAAAACACCTCAATCAAATCAGCAAATAATTTATAAACAACTGATATACAACATATTTCAACAAACTTTCTATGTGACTACGAGTCCTTGAGCACAATAATGATTATCTGAGGCGCACTCTACCAAACTGGCCGAGTCAAAGCAAATGAGGCCCTCCCCATCCCGTATTGAGCCCGAGTCATCCAGGATTCAAGTTCAACACTTCTCATATATATATATAAATTTTGCTTCTTTTCATCAGGTGGCCTGCAGGCCACAGGCCTCTATTGCCTCTGCCAGGCTCGGTACAACTGTACTGGACCAAGCCCGGTGCTGTTCCATACCTCCATTGCTGCATATTTAGACTGATGACAAATAAAGAGTGTAGGAACAAATTGAAAGAACATAACAATAAGTAATACATTCACTTAAGAGAGCTGTTTTAGGTCACCATTACACAGTACAGTAAATTATGTTTGGTCACAATTCATCTCCACAGATAAATACAGACTGATTACAAATTCAAGAATTCTCTTGTACACAAGCAACAATTCTCTGATGACAATGCAGGAGATGTAAGTTTCCTTCTGAATAACGACAATAAATCGAGGTTTTAATATGTTGATCTATTTCCGAGCTGCTAAGATATGGGTCTTGTTGGTCGTTCAAAGCCATTTCCTACCTGCATATCGAGCCATTCAACTTGTGGTCCTTGAGCATATTCTCTTGGTGCTTGTAAGCCAAAAATCATTCCAGTGACATCGAAAGTTGGTGTTGCTAGCTGCCAAACAATATTTATAAGTCAAAAAACATAGAGATTGACCAATGGGAATCTGTGCCTTGCCGCATTATTGGTTGAGTGGAACTTAAATTCACATACATCAGATACTACTTCGAAAGGAAAAGATATCTTCGCTCTAATGAATGTGTAGAATACCTAGAGAACATTTTAAA